TACATACACATACGGTAATTAAATATAGTTTATGTATTTCCCACCATCTCTGTGTGCGTAAATTTAAGTCGTCTGTGGATGTTGATCAAACCCATTATCTTCCTTCTTCTTTAATTAAACATGTGGTAATCACTGTTTTTTTTTTTTTTTTTCTTTTTCATTTTCTTTCAACAAATCATAGCGTGCTAATATATATATATATAGTTCGAGAAATAATAAAAACGTATATATAGGTTTTGGGTATGTTTTAAGATGAATTAATTTTCTAAAAGTAGCTATGATATCCAGTTGGTTTCCTTTTCTCTCGAGTGTTTTAGTTGACTTTTGATCCAAGAAAGGAAATGATACATAAAAGAGAGACATAGTTGGGTTAACTTTGCGTTGTTGAATAATTGAGGCTAATCAATTATAATATTGTATGCGTATATGTATTGTTGTTATGTATTTTTCTAACCCAAATAAAATTATGGAGTCACTTTTGGCTCGTAAAAACTGGGACTTTTGTGTCAATCTTTTTGCTAAAGATGGGAAATGAGCGAGTAACAGAGAGGACCACCCACTAATTTGTTTTTAAAAATCTTTAATTAGCATACTAATTCCAACAATTAATATGATTAAAAGGGGTGGAAAATTGGATGATGCCCAAAAAATTCAAACTAATACAATTATCATATAGTTAGAAATAAATGACATTTAAATTGCTAAACTTCGAATAGTAAATTTGATATTTTTACCAAATCGAACAACAAATACTATCAATGCTAAATATATATATACACACACACACACACGTATACAAAAAGATTTTTGTTTGATGATGCTATATGTGCTCATGTGCTTACCCAAGCAGAGAAGCATTCTTGCGAAGGAATACGAGAGAGAGAGAGAGAGAGGGAGGGAGAAAGTGAGAGTTGTCGTTTGTGTTGAAATAACAAAAACGACAACGTTTATACGTGGGAGGTCAAAAATAAGACGATGAAGGAGAAGAAGCTCATTAGACGACAATCTAAAGATAAACACAACCCAACCGCTACTACACAACCAACCACAAAAATCCAATTTCAGAAACACCCAATGAATAATTTTCTACAAATTGAAAAGGAACATGTAAAATTTTCAAACAAAAGAAATTAACCCAAAAAGTCCCAACAGGTAAAAAGACCAAACTTTTTTATTTTATTTTATTTTTTTTTTCTGAGGACTTTTCACAAACAGTTGGTACGCGTACGTACTCGCTTTGCTGCGGCCGATGGAGCAGAGTTGAGAGAGGAGAGGAGTCTGTCACCCACCATGGACCCACGGGGCAACCCACCAGCAGGGTCCCTAAAGGTGCGGGCTTAAGGGGACAGTCCCTTAAAACCCAAGTCATTTTCAATTAATCGCCAACTTTTCTTTTTTCTGGGTATTTTGGATTGGAAGTAGTTGCAGATCGGTGGTTGCAGGAATATGCTGTCTCGATTATGGCGGCATTTCTCGACTCATCTTGGCCCATCCTCTTCAACAACATATCATACTCTTCCCCCCCCCCCCCCCCCCAAAAAAAACTATACCATTCATTTTCAATTATTATTTTTTTATCGTAAAAATTATTAATCGATACTCTTTATCTTACAACTACGTATATGTTTGTACTGTCACAAACATATATAATTTCATTACAGCTTAATCTTGTAAAATTATTTTATAATGTAATTTTATAATAAAAATACAAAAAAAAAAAAAACCCACACAATAATAATGTTTAAGTAATAACTTACTCCAAATTTTATAAAATTAATCACAGGAAAATGAAAATTATTTTGTTAATTAAATCTCCATAAGTGATTTAAAAGGACAAAAAAGTTATTTTGAGGGGGGTAAATATTTGGTTACTTTACATCCCTGACTTGCTTTAACATTAAGTTATGATCATTTAACTCGTATTTACCCTAACATTTACTTTACCATTAATTAAATGTCGGCAATCTTTACTAGTTCCTACGGTAAAAGATTCTCATTTTCTCAACGTTCGCACTCTGTGAATATATATAATATACAATTTTCTAAACACTGTGATTGCATCGTGTGTTCATTGACAATGGCAATGGACTCTGGACTCAGCACCCTACACACACACATATACATATAACACATGTAAATGGTGGATGGGTACCAACCAGTGTGATTACAGAGGACAGGCCCCCTCCCCGGGTGGTCAATGTACGAGATTTTCTGGGTTTGAAAATCGGCTTCGTATCTAAATATTTAATTAGATGTAATTGAAACCTATTTATTGAATTGTTGTTAGTCAATGTATTTGAAGTTGGAACAAGTACATTTTTAGAATGTAGACCTGCTACTTGCATGACTCTTTAGCATAAAATATCATATTTACTTTTAATATATATATATTTTTTAAATATTTTAAAAAATAAAAAATGTCAATTAATTAAGGAAAATTCTTGTAGTCATCAAGATTTAGAAGTAGTCTTAAATTGACTCAGGATTTGAGTCCAGTCTACAAAATATGATGCCACATTCATTCCTTTATCAAATATAATGGAGCACATTTCCTTTGATTTTTAACCTTGACCATCCCTCTTACTCAAGACTCCCACACACACACACACACATATATATATATATATATATAGTTAATATCCACTATCGTATAATTATATTAATAAATTAATTTATAAATATTATTAAATTAATTACTATAGATTCGTAATACATTTACAAAATAAATATTAAAATATTATTGTGTTTGATAATATTAAAATTAGTTATATTATTTTAATACTATTATTTTCTGATTTTTTTTTTTTTAAAAAAAAGACTGCATCTTTTTTTTATAAAAAAATCAAATTGACTTTAAATTAATGACGTCATATTTGGCTATTTTTATAACAAGCTCGCACAATTCTTCCTCCCCTCCTGCGTGTGTGTGTGTGTATATATATATACTCTGCTCTGTCAGTTCTGTTTCAAGTTTCAACTTAAAAACCAACTCCTCTTCTCCTTCCTCCGTCTTTCTCTTTTTCCCTCCTTTTTCCTTTCGACCTCCCTCCTCCTCCTCAATGGAATTCACAGAGAAGCCGGCAATGTTGCCACCGACAAACTTCTCGTACTCTCCATCTTCCTCTTCCTCTCCACCTCATCAGTCTTCTCTGATCAGTTTCCCCTCTCCGTCCAAATCCTCACCAACTCTCCCTCCTGCGCCGCCGTCCTCACCCCCTCCTCCGGTGGTTCTCAGTCCGTGTGCCGCCTGCAAGATTCTTCGCCGACGATGTGTGGACAAATGCGTGTTGGCTCCTTACTTTCCGCCGACTGAACCCTATAAGTTCACCATTGCTCACAGAGTCTTTGGAGCCAGCAATATCATTAAGTTCTTGCAGGTATAGTTTAAATTTTTTTTTTTTTTTTTTTTTTTTTGAAAATTTGAATTTAATTCCTAGGTTAACTAACTCATGCTTAGTGTAATCAAAAGCTGATTATCACCAAATGATTCTTTTTCTTTCTCAAAATTTTCTTTAAAATCAAGCTAATTTCTTAATCAGCTTCATGTTTATCGTAATCTCAAGCTAATTATCAGTAAAATGCATTCGCGGACATTACTTTTCTACAGCAAGCGAATTAATTGCCGAAATTTTTGTCTAATTTCTTGATTAGGTGATCTGAAGGGTTAAGCTTATTGGCACGACATGCATTTTCTGAGTCTTCTTTTAAAGGAAGATAATTCTATTCTATGAGCACGAAGCATGTGTTTTCTTGGGCTTTTTTTTTTTTTTTTTTTTCAATAGACTAGTCTCACTGTATTTAATTCTTTCTTTCATATTTTTGCCATTCACATTTAACCTTATTCCAATTTTCCAACCTCCAAGTGGTCCTCTGTTTAGATATCTTTAGAAAAGATACTCATACCTGCTTGATTTTTAGTAGCATATATGTCTGTACATACATGAATAATGGAGTTGAATTATAAGAATCAATGTCCTTTGACGAGGTCCTCACTCCTGATCCATGGCAGGCCATGAAATAATAACTTGACACGGTTAGGTACGAGGCTTTTGAGAACCTAGAAATTTGCCCTTTTTTACACAAACCAAAAAAACTGCAACTCACACAGACAAAGGAATTTCAAACCATAGCACAGTATACATGCTTCTAGTACTATTGACAAATCAGAAGTCAACATTTTCCATCATTCCCACATGGCTTCAATTCACATCAATATCCAAAACCATATACATTTATTACTCTCATCTAAGGGCAATCCTGTGAATTCACTTCCATACGTTCCTTATTTAGTACTTGCGGTTGAATTTAAGCATCTCCTTTACTCTTTTTTCTCTCAATCATAATCTTTTTTTTTTTTTTTTCTCTGTGTTGTACTCGGATAAACTCATTTACATTAATGATTACAGGAAATTCCAGAATGTCAGAGAACAGATGCTGTAAGCAGTATGGTGTACGAAGCGAGTGCGAGAATTAGAGACCCGGTTTATGGATGTGCGGGCGCAATTTGTCAACTTCAAAAGCAAGTGAGCGAGCTACAAGGTCAATTGGCAAAAGCACAAGCTGAGCTTGTGACAATGCAATGTCAACAAGCCAATTTGGTAGCCCTGATTTGCATGGAAATGAGATCACAGTCCCAAGAGCCCATCTTCCAGCAACAGCAACAGTCTACTTATATTGACACTACCTGCTTCTTAGATGATGCTACTCTTGGCTCCACTTGGGAACCACTTTGGACATGAATAAGAAGAATTAAGAAACTAGTGTAAATTTATAAATCATATGTAGCCTTTCTAGTTTGGGGAGGTTTTAATTTAATTAAATTAAACAATGAAGACTAAATCATATATAATAACATATATAATTTATATATTTAAACATGCATTACGTAGAGATATATATATATTTTTTTTGTTTTTTTTTTTCAATAAAGTAACTTAATTAGTCATGGAGATTTGAGAAAAAGGAATAAAATTTCATGGGATTTTCCTTACTTGTTTGATTACGAAGTGAAGAACTTAATTGATGACTAACGTATCCAAACACATTCTCGATCTGAGAAAAGTACTAATTATACCGTAAAAAAGTGTATATTTCTTAATTTATTTTTTCATACTCAATTTTTTTACATAATATTTTAAAATAAAATTTTATTTAAAATAAATATTTATAAAAAAAATTTCCTAATAAAATTAGTGGCACGTCGTATAATATTAAATTTTTGTTTCGTAATTATATTAAAGAGTGATCATTTAAAAAGTAAAAAATTTAAATTCTTGATGTTACGTGACGTACGAAATTTATCTATTCGTTGCACGAACTATAAGGTCATTAATTCGAAAAACAAAATAAAAAAAGATTAGTGTCATTATCTAAAGAACAAATGCAAAAATTCTTGCTCAGAGCAACTTTTGGTGACCTAATTTTTTTTATCTCCTCAAAATTTGTTTTCTCATTTAATTTTCTCCTTGTCAAAACCAACTCTTGACTGCCACTACTCGTTTCTTTCTTAACTTTCGTTTTCATTTTGGTAGCAAGAGACTTCTGTTACCTTTATATTCCAGTGCTTATCTTGACCCAAAATTATTTTTATTTTTCACAAATTAAACACCTTTTTTTTCAAAAAAAAAAATTATAAACAATAGTAAAATTAACGATAAAATCGAGGCACCCAAAAGGGTCATTTTATAAATTGCAAAAATACCCAAAAAAAAAAAAAAGAAACGCGTTTTATATTGTCTCTTGACAAAAAAACATATATATATATATATATATATGTACACACACACACACATAATGTACATAACCCATCAAACCCAAAAGTGAACTAAAAGAAAAACTTGAAGGTAAAAATGGACTTTAACTTAATTTTAAATGGTGGACCGTAGATCATTAATTAACCAAAAAACACAAGCCACAAATTCACTAGTGGGTCATATTTATCTCTTACCTCAAGTGGGTAATTAATTAATGAAATTTAAAGTCCAAGTCACTTACATTTATTGTCTTCCCATTACCCATTTATATATATATATATATATATATAGTATATTATGTGGCAATAATGGCAACGGCAGTCTTTTAAGGGTATTCAATATGAAATGCTCAACATTTTTACACAAGTTAGTCTTCGTGCGGCCATGCCACACATGTATGCAACACACACACACACACACACACACGAATAGTTTGATGTAAAAATGTGTGTTGCATTATATATAATATAGTAGCTAAAGTGTGTGTGTGTACATATACGTAATAGGTGATATGTAAGTTTTTAAGTTGTGCATACGATGAGACTTTTGAATGGAAATCTGATTTGATGAAAGAATATAATAATGACTTCGATCACAGCTAATGATAGTGAGTGAGGATGGGCCATATAATAATATGTAACGAAAGGATTGCTGTGTGTGTATGTATGTATGTATGTATGTATAGTTTTGAGATTAATGAAAGGTGGTCGGGTTTGATTGATGTCTCAACGAACGACTGTTGATTTAATTTGTGAATGGAAAAAGCACCCTTTCCTTGTTGTAACGCGTCTATACATATATTGCTCCATGCATTATTATTATTTACTCCATATATATATATATATATATATATATATATACATACATATACGTATTGTGTTATTCAATATAATTTGTCTTTGATTGAATATGACCGCATCTGTATATAGTCGGTCAACTTTTCACTTGAAGTTATATAAACCAACAGACCTCCAAGTTTTAGGGCGAACGTCTGATCACGTGACTTGACCAAAACCAAGAGGACCTTAAACTAAACTATACGTACATATACATATACATGCATATATAGTTTTATATTATTCAAAGTAAGTAGTCATTGCCTAGTATCTCGAAATCTAAAAAAAAAAAAAAAACCATTGGAAATTTGAAATGGTCAGTTTGTTCACACACTTCTCTAGTGTATTGATAAGGGGAAGTAACATTAACATATATACATTTACATATACATACACATATACATATACACATACATATCCAATTTAAACATGATTGACGCTTAATTTTCCAAGTCTTGAGAACTCAACGTTGGTCTCTTTTGCCTTCATTTCTATGTGTAAGTTCATTAGTTATATCATTTAACCCTCCTTGTACGAAAATTAGTCATACCCAAATTCTCTTTTGGCATTACAATTATATATATATATATATAAGTTTTTCATAGGTGAGATTAATTCCATAGAAACCATGTTCTACAATGTTTAAGGAATATAATGTGTTATTCTTAACTTAAAAAATGTAAAAATCATTATTAAATCTTATATATGCAATAACTATAAAATATATTTTATGTTAAATTACTATATTTGTCAATTATGAGATATACAAACAACAATTAATATAATATAAATACAATACAATTTTAAATAATAACACGTAGATTTATAACTAGATTCGAATTCATGACATCTTTTACAAGAATTAATAATTTACGAAAGATATAATCTTCATACCCTATAATTCCCCAACTCTAGAATATAAACAAGATCATCTTCTATTTTCACAAGAAATTCAAACTTTAATTGTAATTTAAATGAAAAAGATTAAAATAAATTAACTCAATCTTAGCCTACTTAAACTATATTTTATTTAGCCAAAATTACATTAAATATAACCATATCTAATGACTAATGCTAGTAATTAAACAAACTCGACTCAATTTATATACATTATTATTTTTGAAAAATATGGTATTTCTCTAGTTATGCAATAGTATAATATATTGTACGATATAATATATATTACATTGTATTAAAAAAAATAATTAGGTAGTACTAAATTTTTAAAACGAATCGAATATAATATATTTATATTGAACAAATTAACGAATACATAATATAGTAACATTTTTATTTTACTTCGCTAAAAAACTGTAATTACGTAAAAATTTATAGAAAAATAATCCCGATTTGACTACGTTTCTTCACACATGATCACAAGCCGCACGTGCGCTTATTTGAGTCCCAACGTTTTCATTATTTATCACATATCATCTTAAATCATATCTATACATATATATATTATTTGCATTATATGTGCGAGGTGCCAAACATTATATACCAACTTTTCATCCTTTGAAATTAATATTATAATTCTATACAAGAAATCGACATCCATTTACGTGTGAAAATTAACAAAAACAGCATTGATGTCTCATAATTAATACACTGTTCATCAGTTTTGATCGTTATATTAATTATAAGTCGAGACGCACGTATGTACCATATATATATATATATATTTATATATATACATACATACATGTATATGTTCACTAGTGTGGAAAGATGTTGTCAACTAAACGAAGGTGTTGGCGGATAATATTTTTATTGAGAAGATCATAAGCTCATAATGAGCACTGAAAAAGACTGTATAAAACCAACAAGATTCAACCTACAGAATGTCTCTCAATTAATACATACGCACACACACACATATATATATATATATATATATATGTACATATATATGTATATGAAATAAATGTTTGTGATAAAAATAATTATTTGTTGGCGGCCCAGACTGTCCATATCCAGAATTTGGGCCGAACTAAACTCATATCCAAACAGACCCAAAATGGCCCATAGTTTCACCAACTTTAGTATTTGAGGATGATAAAAGAAAGGGAGAGATGTACAATTACTATATATTAATTTTCATTTCAAAAAAAAAAAAACTAATTTATAAATAAATTTAAATTTTACAAAAAACATTAAACCCTAAACCCGAGAGAGAATCTAAACCCCCGCTACCCAATCAAATTACCAATTTACCCCCAACAAATGCCCTGTTGAACCGTACTCCAGCACCATACCAGTAGCTTCCACCGCCGGCGCCAGCTTCCTCTCTTTAGGTTCCCTTCTTCTCCGGCACCGCCACCAGTTTCTCCAGTTTTCTTCGTGATTTCGTGAGAAAAATGGGAAAGCTGGGAAAGAAAGCCAGGAAATTTGCCAAGAAGAATCTTCAGTCCGTGCTCAAGCGAAAGCGAAAATTGAACTCTATGTTTAAAAGGAAAGCTGCCAAAAGTAAGGATTCTTATTAATCTCTCTGCATATTGGTGATAGTAAGCGCACCGATTATTTATCGTATAGGATTCTTATCGAAAATAAGCTTGAAACTAACTGAATTGCTCAATATCCTATTAATTTGGAAGATGAGCAGAGTGCCCCTGAGGACCCTGACGAGAAGAAGATAGAACAGCCTAACGAAAGGTAAATAGTGAAATGAGTATAATGGAGTGAATGCATCGATTATTCAGAAAAAAAAAAACATGTTTCCTTCTTCGATTTCAAATTCAGGTTCGTCTTTTTTAGTTACAAAATATTGTACTACGATGTCTCTAGAAACATTTATCACTCCAGTATGAACTTGCGGCAGAAGTGCGTTAGATATTGTATTTGCTACGAGTTTGATCCTTTTTTAGTTACAAAAAACTGCATTTTTTGTCAAATTGCTCTCAGAATTCATGAAGTTGAAGATGTAAATGAAGTTTCCCTTGAGGCAATATTCGGTGAGGATGACAGTGATGTGGCCGATGATGACTCAGAAAGTGATGGATATCTCTCCGAGGTTGGGGTATATATCAGTTCTATAGTTTTTATTTGTGGCATCTCAATTAGGGTTTCAAATTGATGGTATGATTTGATGATCAGGACTCTGACTGCAGATTTATGGCTGAAAGTGAAGGAGAGGGTTATCTAAAAGGTTGCAACATTATAGTTAATATTCATTTCAAGAAATTTCTAGTATGCTTTATGTTTCTTTCTGTTTTTTTCGCTTCATCTTAATTTGAATATGTTTGCAGAGGACAAAAACAGTGGTGCTCTGTCATCACATAATAAGGAAATTCAGTTAAACCTCACAAAGAAAAAGAAGAAACTGGACAGGCTGAAAGAAAAGGTAACAGTGTCATATATCTGTCAAAACAATGATTTTTTGGAGTTATTTGTGCTTGTTGAATTATATGTTCATTCTGTTTTACAATTAGAACTTCAATCACTGTTGATTGAACAACCAGGTAAGGTCAACAATTATATTCAAGCTATCATACTTATAGGGGTGGTCTGGAAGCATCCTCCATTTAAACTGGACTAGAAAGGCGATCCAATGTTGTCTGAAATAGAGACACTTCAACTTATTCGAGTTTTTCTTTTACTGTCTTTTCTTCTATCTTCTTATTTGCCTCTCTTTAATATCTGGCCTTCTCCATAAACGTAATGATTATGAGTGCTATAGTCTATAAGGAGTGCAAAATGCATCATCCTAGCATAATAGTCTTAGACTCTCAGCAGCAGAGTCTTTCTCAATTATTCAAAACAAATCCATGTCTGTGATGAAAGATGAAGTCTATCCAGAAAACACTGGATTCTGTGTTAACATACAGTAAGTTTGGTCAATAGAAGACAACTTTATTTTGTAACCAAAATAGGGCTGTCAGGATTCAAACACTATACAATAGAAGACAACCTTAAGACTATTGAGATGTGTATTCATGTTTTATCAGACTTTCTGGAGAAATGAAGATGTTTGGACATTGATAATATCATGAGAATTCAAAAGTTGCAATCTATTGGAAATTTAAGTCAATAAACCAATGTTTACTAAATGAATTATGTGGAAACTGTAAACCATGCACTTTTCTAGAACATGATGGAATTTTCAGATATAAAAGGGCACACCGCTCTAGTGCCGGGCCTTCCATTGTTTGGATTGTTCCGAAAAATTGGGCCTGGTATTTCTTGTGGGAAATGCATTATCAGAGCAGGATTGTACATATTGCAGATTCAATTTGCCTATTGGTAGTCTGCTTGACCTCGACGCTATCAATTCTATGTATTAACATAGCTCTTCTGAACTTCTCTTTATAAGAGGATAAGCTCTTGAGTTCTCAACAGAACAGTTGGGCAATCTTTGCCTCTTTTGCACCCGATAGGCCATAAGTGATTTTAAGGAATTGATTGTTTGGTGAGTTACGTGCATCTAATCATGTGTCTGGTGCCAATCAATCATGTTCACATGTTTGATTACATGGATCACTGATCACATTTTATCATTATTCTGAAGTCAGATTTTGAATATGTGATGGATATATTTCTTTATTTCTGCACTCTTCATATTTTTCTTATGTGACATCTAGTTATTACATTTTGTCATCCACATTACAATCTTAATGATCCATTTGTTGATTGAAGCAATTCTGTCTTGCAATTTCAGGATCCTGGATTTTCCAAGTTTCTGGAAAGCTATGATGACAGCCCTAGGAAATTTAGATACGAGGATAACGTAAGTTAATTTTTGAAGATATCTATTTTTATCTTGACCCTTGGTAACCTGATGGACGGGTTGCTCAGCTTTTAGTTATCTCTGAGTGGTAGTTTCTTTGAATCATGAAGGTTGTCCAACAATCAGGTTTAAGGAATATCCCTAGTTGAGTTTGCATCATTGAACCTGACCCTAATTTCTTATGTCTCCCAAATACAGTTTTTTTGTGCAATGGAGTGAATATGACCTATATGCAACAGACAAGGATACCTTTCAAATAAATGTAACACCTAGATTGTTGGATATTTTTTTCTTGCTTGTGCATACATGACAGATATTGTTGATTCCACTTTCATGCTTAAAGTTCTATTTGAGTTATAGGTGTAGAAGTTATGTTTTGAACTTCAAAGTAGAATGGAAGTCAACAAGTGTATTGCATATATGATGTCATTTCAACTTAGTTTGCATGGTTTTCTGCTGCTGTTTCTGAGAGTATGTTGTATCAAATCTCATGTTAAAATTTAAGTTTTTATTACAGTACTCCGATGACGTTCGCACCAGTAATGGCATCATGGAGTGCGTGAATGACAATGGCTCAAATTCAGCTGAGTATAAATTGCTGACTAGCTCTGCCTTTATTTCTTGGTGTCAACTAGTTACAGAGCAGCATTCTGTGCCAGCACTTATTTGTTTGTTAAATGGGTATCGTGCTGCGTGTCATTTTGGAAATGACTCATCTGGTCTTCTTGAATCTGGCTTATGTTATGGAATTGAAGACAGCAAGATATTTTGTGAGATTTTGCTGTTCATGCTTCAGAAGGCTGATAGTATATTTCGGGGTATTCTAGGGGTATCGGACACCAGTTGCAGGAAGGAGAAAATTTTAGAGTTGAAGAATAGTACAAAATGGAAAACTTTGAAGCCACTGATCAAGTCTTATTTTAGGAGTACCTTGTTTCTCTTGAATCAGGTTACTGATTCAGAGATTTTGGCCTTTTCCTTAACCAGACTTAGAGCTTCTATTATATTTTTTGCTGCATATCCTTATTTGCTCCACAGATTTATCAAGGTACTATTTCATGGAAAATCTGATGTTCAATTTCTTTTTTTCCCATCATGAAAATGTAAGACAGTATTGATATGAACATTGTACTTCTATCAGAAAATGTAAGTTATAGTCCAAGAATTTTAATATTGAAGTATCATCATAATGCTGCTGTTGTAGCTAACCTGGTTATGTATTACAAAATTTGTTGCTATATTATGGACTTGGACCTTGCAACTCTTAGGAATTTTAAATCCTTAGCCATTTCCCCAAATTGAATGACTTTTCCATTTGAGTTTGATTCCCTGTTATTTTCTTGCAGTACAAGTTCATGTTTTACTAACAATTTAGATTGAATGCAGATTGCAATTCATTTGTGGACAACAGGTGAAGGGACTCTATCTTCACACGCCTTTCTCATCATAAAAGATGTGGCTACAGTTTTCAGCTCAGAATGCTACGACACCTGTTTGATTAAAGTATATAAATCATTCATTGGAAACTGCAGACTTGTAGACCCGAATTTAGCCAAGCACATACAGTTTCTTAGGGACTCCCTTGTGGAGTTATGCTCATTAGATGTACAGAGAGCTTATAACAGAGCAGCAGCTTCTATCCAACAACTTGGTAAGATTTTGCAGCTGGGTCAAGGGACAAAGAAGAAGGTACTTAATGAACATGTTCTCTCTCTGATGCCTTCTTTCATAGCATAGATGCTAGCATAGTTAATTTCATTTTTGTTTTAAAATGTGAGTATTTTATCATTCTCCATTTCTTGTTGATTTTATATAATTTGTTTCTCGACTGTTCATAAGCAGGAAGCTGTGAAGAGGATATGCAGTTGGCAGTACACTAGCTGTATTGATCTTTGGGTTTCATTTATATCAATTAATATTCGAGATTATGATCTACAGCCACTGCTTTATATGACCATTCAGGTTATAAATGGAGTGGCTCGCCTATTTCCTGGACCAAGATATTTGCCTCTAAGGCTTAAATGCATTCAGTGGCTAAATCATCTTTCTAGTTCTAATGGAATTTTCATTCCTGTTGCATCTTTGGTGTTGGATATCTTGGAGTATAAACTTACCAAGGAGGGTGGTAAGCCCGGAAAGGAGCTTGAGGTCTCATCAGCCATGAAGGTTAGGACTCAGTAATATTGTTACTTTTTATTCCTAAACTTTTGTTGCACTTGATGCCATGCTGACACTGCTTATAGGGCATCGCCATCTAACTTTGTAATTGTTTCTTATCTGAAATCCAGTAACATTGATATTTGTGGTACAGTTGCCAAAACATTGGTTGAAATCTCGGAACTTCCAAGAAGCTTGTGTCTTTTCTGCCATTGAACTGCTTGCTGTGCACTTTGCTCAATGGAGTTACCACATATCTTTTCCTGAGCTTGCAACTATTCCAGTCATACGACTGAGGAAGTTTCATGACATAACAACTACCGAGAGTTTCCGGCGAGCTGTAAAGCGTCTTATTGACCAGGTAGAACTTCTTCTGTCTATCCATCTCCTTGAAAAAGGAAGTTAGTTTTCAGAAGTATGTTATGTTGTAAATACAGCCCATGCAATTGTTATTGCACACTTTCAAGTGATGGTTGTAGCCCAAAATGGGTTCACAAGGAGAAAGGCGTATAGGGATATTAATTTATTGGCCTGGCAAAGCATGCCTACAATATTAACGGCAATAATCATGAGGTTGATAATGTCTCATCGAACAAAAAAGTTATATTCCTGACTTTATACACCAAATGCGTCTAGAAAGAATATAAGCAGTTAGAAATAGCAGAGCATAGGACAGGTAAATTTAAATCTCCAGAACTTTGGCTGGGGAAACAACCTAGACTTGCTTCCTTAATGGTTCTTGTTTGTATACTGTTGTGGAAATCTGGTTTTTATAAGTACTGTTCTTTTTTTTTTTCACTCCTTTTTCTCATGCTGTAGGTGGAGCAGAATGTTGAATTTGTTAGAAAGAGGAGAGATGAGGTAGCTTTTTCACCAAAAGATCAGCAATCTGTTGAATCATTTCTCCAGGTTCACGTCTTGCATCAACATTATTTTTATGCGAATAAACAACTTTTTTGTACTCTGACTTTGATAAATGGTTGCCACACAGCTTGAAAAGTGCAATGGAAATGCTCCTTTTACACATTATTACAGAAGCATCATAGAAAAGGCTGCTTCTAGCAATCTGATTATAAGTGAAAAATTAAGGTGTGATTTACTTTCCCTATTTATTAAATTCTCTATTTCTTTACTTTTGTCTTGAGACATGCAACTATTTGATGCTAAGCCTGAGTAGTGAACTTTTAGGTTTTAACTGAAACAGTTAAGTTGATTTAATTTTTGATCGTGCAACCTTTCAAGCTTAAGCTAGTGGGTATATAGAGCTCCTTTTTTCTGCTTTCGCTGTTTGGGAGGATCTTTTACCCTCAACTGATAATTTTTTCCTCTTCAATCAGACTTATATGAAAAAAAAAAATTTCTGAGGTTTATGATATTGTCGTGAGCTTTGAGACTGAGGAAGGATATGTTACAATGAGACTTGTACTGCTTGCATCATGTTGACTTATGTAAAGAAACAAAGCTTGGAAACATGTGGGTTACTTGATCTTCCCACTTCTCATTGACTTATCGATTGTTAGAATACATCCATGACCTGCTTTCCGAGTGGAAAAAGCGACCCTGGGAGGAGCGTTCACTTCCAGAGTTGCGTGGATGGAAAATTGTTCATGGCAATCAACCCCTCACCTTAGATGTGATGTTTGAGGAGTTCCAGCTTCCAGATGTACCTAGTTACTTTTATGGCTACATCTAGTTATTTACCTTGCCAGCAAACCTTAATTTTCAATTTTTGGTTGTGATATTTAAGAATCCTGGCTGTAGTATTAGATTAATACCTTAATTCCCAAGTATGGGGATTAACCCTACCTATCCTACATCAGACAGGATTTATACTTGCTCGTGGTGTTTTTGATGATTGTAGTTTTCTTTCTGGCATGTATTGCAATAATGATTGAAGTGTCGAGGGGGCCTATTAATTTTATTATAGATGGTACAGATAATCCATAAATAGTCTGATATTTTTTAAATTTGCTACATTTCAAGGTTGACCGATGTTTTTTATTTGCTGCAGCTCCACAAAGCAGAAGAATTCAAGGAGAAAGCATGAACTTGCTAGCAATGTGATAGGTATCACTGTAAATGGTGGAGTTCCAAAGAAACAAGTGGCTTTGTAATGGAGGACATGAAAATATGAGAAAGGAAATATACCCTGAAGAGTAATTATTTGGTAACTGTTGATTTTGAGTGCTAATTGAGATGCAGAAAATGTGATCTTCCAGTCCTCATTTTCACTTTGGGAGTTTATATTTTCTTATTGTATGATATATGGTTCCCAGTTAAGGCTAGAAAAGTTTTTACTTAGAGCAGTTGGAATCTCATTTGAGAATTATGTCAAATATCGTTTGAGAATTATGTCAAATGAGTTTTTTTTTTCGCATTAAGGAAATTAAAATTTTGTATCAGCTTACATGCTGGTCAATGTCTAAGAAGGAACTCAGTAGTTTATTGGGGCTTGTTGAAAGTTTAATGTGCTTATCTCAGGAATCTGCCTTTTGATGTCCAAACGTTTACACGGTTATTCTGAGACAAAAGGAGAAGGAAAATCTTGACTTTAGGTAAGCAGAATGTATGAGAGATTTCTGTTCACTTGTCAAGCTTTTCATGTAGTATGATGATATCTCCTTTTCTTTAGAATTTTGTACTAGTGAGTTATTACTTTCCAAGATAAAAAAATAGTATGAACAATTGAGAAACTTTGCAGGATTTCAAATCAAAGTGTTTCTGGTTCAGTTTGTGCATAAAATTGACATTTGACATGGGAAGCACTAACTTGAATCTGTCTTTCATACTTTATTTATTATCTGTTGTTGCTTGTTAAGTAAGATTTTATGCCTTTCTGGAATTGAACATTACGTGGCATGATTGGTGTATCCCCATTATAACACATATTGTAGCCTGCTTATGGTTGATCCCGTCATATATGAACATATTTAACAGTGGGGATATGCTTTATACCAGTTCGAAGGTTTCTGGGTTGTTAGACATTGATTAGAATTATTGTTCACACCATTTAGATTTAGTTGTTAGGCTCCCAAGTTGAATTTCTGAACTGTTAGGTTGGCTTTTTGGTTCCTTAAACACTATTGGATCTAGTTAGTGGAATTTGAATGCATGCCCTGTGATATTCCTGTTCTGTAATATGTTTTTAAATACTTAGGTTCTATTTTGTATAGAAAATGTTTTGGAGATGATGGAGAAAATATGGTATGAGTTTTGTTTCATGCCATATTTTCACTATCATTCTTAAATTTTATTTATTTTCAATAACTATAAATGTTTAGCATATAAATGTTCTTAAATTTTATGTACAAATATATATGAATTTAGAAAATCAAAACTAAAAACAATTTTCTATGGTAAACAAAATAGTTTCCACTCATGCCTCCCCAAGTTACATGCTGACATCCCTCATAAGCTAACATCTACCAGGACACAAACAGGAAATACAAAATCTTTAGCTCATGCATCTCGTGTATAATCAATTTTGCCCACTGGTGTGTTAAAACATCTCCCTCACACCAATGGAATGCAGCCAAACGATGTCTTAACCATAACTCCTGCAGGTTGGTTTCTACACATGAGAGATCTAATTAACCCCCAAAGATTCTTTCTTCTCGTACTACCCTTCACTATTTCACTTTCAGCTTTGAACTGAAACATTGTCACTGGTCTTCTGTTGCTCTGCCTTTTCCTCATATCCCTCAGTTCCATTTCCTTAGGGAACCTTCCCATACCAAATGCAAACAAGTACCATCTTGACTTCATAGGAGTTGCCGGTATGGATATGTTCTTGACTGAATAATCAAATTTCTTGTCATATTTTGCACAACTGCTTGACATCGGCATTGAAATAGATCTCTTGTAACTCTTCCCCCACTGCACTTTTGGTGAAGGAGGGACTCTTGATCCACCTAGTGAATGAGATTTACATTTAAAGACGCCTCTACTCTTCTTGGGAGCTTCTTGTTTTGTGGGGATTTCGGTTAATTGGGTTTTTCCAGTGACTGTTAGCTCCTTGTGGGAAATGATTTTTCCACAGAAGACGATGTTGTCTCTTGGATAAGCGGAGGCAGTGGAGTCTGTGTTGAAGAACTCAAATAAATCTTGATTGGAGGACGAGCTTTGATCGTCTTCCTTGAAGGCATTCCAGTACTCAGCTGCACTGCTATCTACTGCAAGATCACAAAGGGATAGTGTTTCTTCTTCATCATCAAAATCTATCAGGTTTGTTTTTTCTTGATCTAGTTCTGTGCTAAACTCTTTAGCCACCATTTTTGGGTTTTACAGAGCAGGAACAGAATTTCCAGGGAATATGAGTTGTTTGTAGAAAGAAGTTGGGTATTTCTGGTATTTAGGAATATCTAGTTTGATGAAGAAACCAAGAAAAATTTATATTAGGAGGATAGACATAGAGGAGGGCTTTAAATATTTGTGTTTGGTTGACTATATGAAGGCTTCTTTCTAGATGGAAAGCAACATGACAGTTTGGGACGTACCGGAAAGTACAAAAGGGCTTGCTTGGGCTTCTCTAGAAGAGCAGGTTACAAATAAGGTTAAACTGGCACATGTAGACTACTTAGCTTTTGTCTTTTTCTTGTTGGAATTATAGTTGTCTTGTATAAAGTATTAAATATTAAATAGAATATATAGGAACTCGATAGCGATGCTAAATATTAAATTTTCGTGATCTTCATACAAGAATTCTACCTTTTTATTTTTCAAATGGAAAAAAAGAAAAGAGAATTCCATCTTTTCAATATATAAGCCCTATCTGTGCTCTAATTTCACCAGCAAAAGTGAATTTATATGGTAGATATTTTACTAATCATCATATTTGCTTGATCTGATTCTTGGGTTTGCTGGGTTGTTAGGGCAAATCAAGAATTTTTTGTCCTCAACTAGTTGTCTTGTTTTAGGGAGAGGAGGCTGAACTGAGATTCCCATGCTGAAGGGACTGACTTGTATTTTACATTAGGGATGGTGGCAAAAACATCTACATGACTTGATGGCATCAAAGTGTTATTAAACTTTTTCTCTCTAGGCAAACTGTTCATTTCATGGAGACTTAATAAAGATTGTGGTAAAGTACAGGTTACTATTTGGTGTTTTGATTTTCTTTTTATATATGATGATTTTATAGTTGGATCTTTAAATGTTTACTTTCTTCTAGAATTTTGGATTTTTATTATGTTTTGACTTTTCTATTTACAAATTGCTTTTCTTAAAAAATTAATAACACTATGTCAAATAATGGAGGGACAAAATAAACCCAAGAAAAATTTCAAAGTACTGAACATGTAAAAATTCAAACCACAAGTCATAAAAGAATAATTATTCCAATTGAATTTCGATGTGCTCGTAAGTAATTTCATTGTTGAATGTTGTATTTATTTATAGAGAGCATCCATCAAAGTTGAATCTAAAATTCCTGTAGAAAATCCACCAATTCGCTTGACCCATTTGGAATTTAGTCAAAATTCTGTAAATTCATTTTCAATTGGACCAAAAAGGAAACAGATGATTTGCTGACTTTGGTCTCATGGCTGAAAATTATATTTTCAGATTTGATCGAAGAAACAATTATATATATACATATACATATACATATTTTTTATGTGACTCATGCAACGTCTTTGAAGGAGTCTAATTAGGGGGCCGCCCCCCCTGTGAGAAAAATGCGAGATTTATAATTTACATATTTATTAGTGGATTGAACTGACTTATTAGAATCCCATAATCATAAACTGGAGCTAATTTTTCAACTCACTGTAATAAAGTTTCCAGTAGTAAATCTCCTCCTCTTCACGTCCGATGATGTTCGTCCTTCAATCGAAACGGAGTTAAAACTTGGAGGAGCCGAAGTTTGGTGGAAAACCCACAAGATCGTGAGAACCCAGGTAGCAAATATTCAACGGCTACCCATTTTAGCCGAAGAATCCGAAGGAGATTCATCTCCTTAAATTGGATTGGAATTTGAAAAGGGTCAACATTGAAAGAAAGATGGGCTTGGCTGGGTTAGCAGAAAGATCTCAACAGCCTCCGATGCATCTCTATCATGTAAATTTATATCTTTCTAAGATTATTAATGAGTAAATAATTTACTATCTCCAAAGTGTAAATCAGAAACTTGGAACAACAATGGCTGTTGTTGTCTGCATGTTCAGCGTGCGTAGTTCGATAGAATGGGTATCATGTCCCATCACCCCTCCAATTATTTTGTTATTGGATAAGAATCAACAAAACATTGGGTAATGATCAGAAAAAATATAAATATAAAAAAAAACAAAAACAAATTAATATTATGCCTGAAACTAATAATTATTTGCAAGAACATGTGATGTGTTATTAATGGGATCACCCAAAACATGCCACCCTCTTAAATACTCACTCCCATGCAAAGATATTACTACCAACATTTTTATAGGTGGGTTATTGGGATGGGGTGACGAGAAACGACACCGTTTTCTTTTTTTTGGCCATTAACTACCTCTCGGTGCTTCGAGTTTTGGAGATGCTACCGATGATTACTATTGGTGACTTTAAAAGCTGCTCTGCCTGTTGACTGTTAATACAAGAAAGGATTGATTCCTCTTCTTCCAAAAATAAAGGTGAAAGCTTTACAACAACAAGCCTTCTCTTTTTCATTTAAATATATATATATATATGTATGTGTGAATGTATGTAAGTAATGGTATTGTCAGTTATAGTCTCTGGTTAAATTATTTACCCATGTGACTGTTTCTTTTAAGAAACATTAATTAAATTTTTTGATCAAAAAAATTGATTATAATTTGACATTACCCAAATAAAAAAAAAATAGTTCTTGGAGTTCTTATATAAAATATCATTATAATGAAAATGGAATTGTGGGGATCATTTTGGGGTTTGATTTTGTAATTATTTGGTGGTTTTAAAAAAGAAGCATTACATAAATAAAAGTAAAAGAAAGAGCTTAGCTTTTTGTTTCCTTTTAAATATTTGACTGGATTTACTCCTTACAACCCTTCACATTCTTCTTATAATGTAATCCAATAAAAATATATAAAAAAGAAGAGAATGAAAAGTCCTTATCGAATTGCACACACACACAAGATTAATTTTATTTATTTCTGGTTTTTATGACTAACGGTGAGAACTGGAACTGGTTTTCGAAAAGCCAAACACCCAAAAGAAAATCCCAAAAAAATAATTAAAAAAAAAAAAAGACAGCAGAGCAAGGTACAGTTTGCTGTTGTTGTTCTTGTTGTTTGTTGTTAAATTTAGTAGGGATGATGATCATGTAGTAACCCACAGAAAGTGGGTCCCTTGCCCCAAGCCAACCTGGTTTTCGTTTTTATTCTCCTCCTCCTCCCTCCATTTCTTCTCTTCCTCCATTCTTCAAGCTTTTTTCTTTGGCAAGATCTGGTCTTCTCTCCTTCTCTCTCTCTCTCTCTCTCTCTCTGCATTGAAGGAGACAAGTCTTGATTCTTTTTCAATGTATATTTACCGTTTTGTTTATAAGGACTCGGAGGAAGCCTCGTTTAATGCCACAGAGATCTGAGAATTTTCTTGTAGAAGGTAGTGGATTTTTCTATGGCTTTCTAAGGCCTATGGTTTTTAACACATCTGCAAATCTTTTCGCCGTTTTTGGACCTTTTGTCTTTGTCCGGGAGATATTAAATGCTCTTAAATTTGGATTTTTTTGATCTGGGTTTGATTTGTTCTTCGAAGATCTTGCAGTTTTTGCATCTGGGTTATTCACCATTTCTCATTCAGATTGGATAATTTATTAGTTTCTTTCATTATCCTTTTCCAAAGCTCTTAGTTCCATCATTGGATTTCCTTTTTACTTGTTTTGTTAATAAGAGCATGTTGTTTAACACTTTCAATCCTTTAAACGTTTCCTCATGTGCGATGGCTATAATTTATCCATTTCGAAGTTATGATTTTTTCTTACTGAAGTTTGACTTTTTTTTTTCGGGGTTCCATCTGTTTTCCTCTCAAAGATTGAAATTATTGGGTTTGGTGTGGTTTTGTTCATAGCCTTTCTGATTTGTATAAAGGAGAATTCAATTATGCTGATTCTTGAATTGCAAATACAAGAGAGTTGCTTGCAATTTTTTCAACCATGTTTGACTCTAAAATTTATTGTTCATTGTTTGGTTTTGATTTCACAAGATGAGAAATTAGGAGATGGGGAAGAAAGGGGGTTGGTTTGCTGCCGTGAGAAAGCTCTCAGCCTGAATCAAGGAAAGAAGGATCAGGTTGGATAGATTGGTCCATGCCACATTATCTCATTTACTACCATTTAATTTTCTTTGCTTGGATGGGTCTATGATCGAAAGCTGATTCTTTTCTCTTTTTCTTTCTCACTAGAAATCCCCCAAATCAAAGAAAAAATGGTTTGGGAAGCACAAAAATTTGGATCCTGTTTCTTCTTCTGTAGAAACTGCATTGGTTGTGCCTCCTCCCCCTCCACCGCCGCCGCCACCTCCTCTTCCTCCCATTAAAGATGTGAAATTATCAGAAGCCGAAAACGAGCAGAGTAAACATGCTTATTCCGTGGCTGTCGCTACTGCTGTCGCTGCAGAAGCAGCTGTTGCAGCTGCACAAGCCGCGGCTGAGGTTGTTCGTCTCACGACCGTGCCACGGTTCTCCGGAAAATCAAGGGAGGAAATAGCTGCTATCAAAATTCAGACAGCATTTAGAGGATACTTGGTAAGAATTTTTTATCTTTTCTACTTAAAGAACTTCTACCCTTGTTTTTTTAGCTCTAAGATGCTTTAAATTATAACTTAATCGGAATATTCCACGTTTGGAACTGATGCAATTTTGAGGGCTTTTTGGAGTTTAATGGAATTTGTCCTTCTTAGTATAGATGCATTTAAAGAGTTGCTTATGTTCCAAATTAATATTGTCATGGAGATTTCTGAGGTTTTACCATTTTGATAGATGTACAAGTCATCTTGAGTTGTATGAATGTCAGGTTGCATTTAATGATGATGGTCCCGTCTTGAATTAATTGCCTTTTTATTTTTTAGTAAGAATTTACTGTAAAATTGCACATTAACCAATTGCAACTCTGTTGAAATGTAGAAAGCACATGTATTTATATATGCAAAAAGGCTATTAACACTGCTTGGATCTTGTGATAAACTATTTTGTATATGGGTACTTGTAGTATTAAACTTCTGTTAATACACTGATAGAAATATTAGTTTTTACCCCATAAAATTCATGGAGAAAGGATGTTTAGTTTAGGAAAGGAGTAAAATTTATGCTACTAATGTCCTTGAATTAACGTAATCATGATTAGGGAGCACTAATCATGTTCTTCTGTTGTCTAGGCAAGGAGGGCATTGCGTGCTCTGAGAGGTTTGGTGAGGTTGAAATCATTGATTCAAGGGCAATCTGTTAAACGCCAAGCAACTATCACATTAAGATGCATGCAAACTCTTGCTCGCGTTCAATCTCAAATCCGGGCAATGAGGATCAGAATGACAGAGGAGAACCAGGCTCTTCAGCGCCAGCTTCAACAGAAACACGAAAAGGAGCTCGAGAAGATGAGAGCTTCTGTAAGTGCACTTATTTATGATAATCAAATATGGGAGGCATACTATTTTTATAGGGCTAAACATACACATCAAAAGGAGCTTGCTTCGGTTTCCAACCTCTTGGTTCATTTTGAGCATAGTTAGTCATTGTAACATAAAAAGCATTCTACTTTTTCCTGCTTTTTTGAAAGAATTGTCATGTCTCCCTCTTCTCTGACTTGGCCTTTGATGCAATAAAAGTTTGGTGTTAATTTTTTCGAGAAACTTGTGTAGGTGGGAGGAGAGTGGAATGATAGCATACGTTCGAAAGAGCAGGTTGAGGCAAGTCTGTTGAACAAACAAGAAGCTGCTATGAGAAGAGAAAGGGCCTTGGCTTATGCATTCTCTCATCAGGTACATATTTATTCAGCTGGTGAAATCAGAAAAAGAGTTCACAAAAAATTTCTTGTGGAATTGGAATGATACATTCTTAATTATAGTTACATGTTCATTCTTATCATTTTCTAATAGAATTTACATCTTCTCCCAATCAAACTAAGAACTTCAGAGTGTTGATGCTGTTATAGTAGTCTGGATTCTGAGCTAACTTCGGTGGTGACTTGTCTGACAGCAAACATGGAAGAACCCTTCAAAATCTATAAACCCAACATTCATGGATCCAAATAATCCTCACTGGGGTTGGAGTTGGTTAGAACGATGGATGGCAGCCCGTCCATGGGAGACTCGGAGCACGGCAGTAGATAATACTGATCATGGATCTGTCAAGAGCACTGCCAGCCGCACCACGTGCGTAACAGAAATTAACAAAGCATATTATCACCGTGATAAGAAGGCCTCACCCAAGCCACAAAAATCAACTCGACCTTCCAGTCGTCAATCTCCTTCGACTCCTCCTTCAAAGGCACCATCTGCATCATCAGTAACTGGGAAAACAAAGCCACCAAGTCCGCGAGGGAGTCAATGGGGAGGTGGTGATGATGATTCAAGGAGCACATTCAGTGTTCAGTCAGAGCGGTATAGGAGACACAGCATTGGAGGATCATCGGTTAGAGATGACGAAAGCCTTTCGAGCTCACCTTCAGTACGAAGTTACATGGTGCCTACACACTCAGCTAAGGCCAAGTCTCGGTTACCGAGTCCGCTGGGGTCATCAGAGAAGAATGGAACACCTCCTGGACTTGCCAAGAAGCGACTCTCCTTTCCTGCATCACCAGCTGGAGCAGGGGCGAGGAGGCTCTCAGGTCCACCCAAGATAGATACGAATTCCACTACAGCCACTGGCATGTCTGCGGAAGATAATATTAGCAATGGCGGAACCAGGTAGCAGGAAAGGAAAGCAGAGAAACAAAATGCAAGTTGGGATGAAGGGGAAACGAATAAGAAGTATGAATTACTAGGAGTTTGCTGTTTCTGTGCATTAAAACACAGAAACATGTAATGATTAACATGTAATCAACATGTAATGATTATATTCTGTGGAGCAGATTTCTTCATCTGTAATATGTATTCTTTGTTTGTCTGGTTCTGTTCTTTTATAGATTTCTGAGGAGAACTCAAATCAAATTTCTTCAGGTTTTTCTGTCTTTTTAGCGAGTGGGTTTGCTTAGAGGTGAAGAGAGAGAAGAGTGGAATTTGGAGATTATAATATATTTTTTATTAAATTAAATAAATTTTATTGCTAAATCGAATTTATTTTCTTAGAAATATTTTATGTAACTAAGAGTTTAAAACCCAAAGTGTGTGTATTTATTATTATTAACTCTAAATTTTTTATAACGTACTTAAAAATTAAATACATAATTGAAGTAAATTTTGGAAAAATTTAATTAAATTTATTTTAAAACCTATTTCTTCTTCATGACGTGAGCTCCCACGATTATTCCGGGTCTATCATTTTGGAGCTGACCCGAACCGACCCAGATACCGACCCCTTTCGGACAATGGTAGAATGTTGTAGACCTTTCTTCGCAAGCCAACTAAGCTCGATCGAATCGGACGAGCGACAAAAAAACCAGGCGAGGCCTTAAAAATCAAGCAAGCTAAACGCTCTTACATACGTACACAGAGAAGAAAGAAGGCGAAGAAGGTTTCAAGTACAATCGTGAATGACACCGATCAAACTCCACTTCGAAGGCTACTCTACGTAAATGGTAATGTAAACTTTTCAATTTTTTGCTATCTTATGGCTCGGCTTCAATTATTCTGTTTGATCTTCTTAGCAATTCTTTATTATTAATACGCGTTTGGAGGTTATAGGGTACCTTAATTTGTGGTTCTAGGATGATTAAGACTTGGAATTCCTGTTTCAAAGTTGGATTGTATTTAGATTTTTCAATCTGATTTAGCTCTATGCATTTTTTTTTTTTTTAAGAAAATATTGATTTAGTTCCTATCGTATTCCTTCGCGTAATTACCAGAGTACAGTTGGGAATTCGACATAGACGTGGAGTTGATTTGAATGTGAAAATAATGATTGAATTGCAGACACTAAGAGTGCTCTAGTCGTAAGTAAAAAGAATAATACAGGAACCGAAGCAAATAGGCCGTTAATGTCAATTACAGAATGATGTAATTTTCGTTAAGATTCTAATTTTAGTAAAAATCTTTTCCAGGTAAATTCACCATCAGAACCTGCATTGGACCGGGTACTTTTTATGCTTAAATTACCTTGGATATAAATGCAGATCTAAAGAGTACTTGCATTTTTTCGTTTACCATTTTTCATATTCGTCTGTTATTAGACTTAGAGATTTTGCATTGGCATGTTGGTGTGCATTGCTTCATTGTTGGAGAACTGTACTACAATTTTGCTAAATGTGCTTTGGGAGTTATATTGTTCATATAGTTATTCCTTTTGTTTTATTGATGATATGTAGTCTATAAATGTAAGAGATGACTTCTTTCTTTGGTAGTATGATTTTATTCCAACATGAATAGGGAGATGTTATGCCATTAAGGGGAATTTTGTGCTGATGTTAGATTTTCTCAAGTATGCGTCCTTAGTAAGGTCCGGTGAATCACTGGTTTACGGAAGCTACAGTTGTTAAATTTAGAGCTATTATGGAAAGAAAGACTCCTTAATAATGGATAGAATATTGAACTATTCCAACTAGCTTCATGCCTAGGATGAAGAGTTGTGATCTATCTGTTGATTCTTCTTTAGAATTCATAAGCAACCTGTTGCTCAAAATCATCTCACTTGGGCAAAGCAAATGGAAAGAGGTGGAATTGTTTTTGAGTGCTGTTAAGTACATCAGGAGCTGTCCTGAAAATTTGTTATGTTTTCTAAAGATTCGTAACATGTTGATATTAAGAGATGGAATCAGTTTGTCCTCTTTTACTAAGAATATCCTCAGCTGAAGTCTGTAAAAAAAATTGATAAATGATTTAGAATAGAAAAATATGGACTTCTAATCATTTTAATAATCTTTTCTTTATTTTTCAAACTGGCCACATTTAGATGGTAGGCCTGTCAAATAAGGCCGTGGCCATAAGCTCATTCACACGGGGATTATGTAGACAGAATGGAAGATAAAGTCTCTGCTTTTCTATGCTGGTCTTAGAATCTCCCTTCATATGCATCCTTTATGTACTAAAGGAAAGAAGTAAGAGATTATGCTTATGGATTTCATCATAGAAAATTTATTCTCTCTTCAACGTTCTGTAGTTGACGAAATTACATTAGTTTTATTTTTTATCAGTTTAACCGTAGCATTGAGCTATGTTTTCCATCCCATCTTTTCCGTATATAACTGAGTGCTTCCTCTTTTGATCTAATGTTTTTCTCGTGTTTGATTGTTTATATTCGCTTAGCTGGTATTTTTCCATAGGTTTTGTTATATTTCATATGATATTTGTTAAATAGCAGTGTCGCTATTTCATCGTGGGCCAGCGATTGGAAGAAACAATCCTGCAAATTTGGAAGGGATTGAACCTTTTAACTTATAAATGGAGAGTCAATAGTTTTTTTATCTTCTCTGAATTTAGTCTTTTTTACAATAGCTTTTAATTAATGATATCCTAGATGTACATCAGGCAACACCATTTTTGGCTGGGCTTGCAGTTGCTGCCGCTGCTCTTGCTGGTAGATACGGAATTCAGGCTTGGCAAGCATTCAAGACACGGCAACCAAAACCTAGACTACGCAAATTCTATGAGGGTGGTTTCCAGCCTACAATGACAAAAAGGGAAGCAGCTCTTATTCTTGGTGTTAGGTAATTATTCACTGTTATGCTCTTCTCTCACTGTCTGACAAAGATTATAAACCATGTTATGGTTCAGTTTTGCTTTTCCCCAGTTAATTACTAGTGTAACAATGCTGAAGTTACAGTTTTATGGTGCATGCGTTTTTACTGAAATTAGAGGCTGAATCACAGGGTTATGGAAAACATAAAGAAAGGGTGGGCATATGTAAGGTATTCTTAATTGTAGCATTGATAGTTATCCCGCACATTCCCAGCTTGCTTTGTCTGTTCATCCTATGTAAAGATTAGATCTTCGTAAAATAATTATATCATGATAATGATTTCAAAATTTTTCAGAAAGATATGTTTTGATTTTAGTGCAAGATAAGGCCAACAATTCAATTCTCTCGCTCTCATCTCAACTTCTCTTGTTGATTGACCTCTTTGTTTTTCCTTAACTATATCCTCCTATGGTAGGGTTATGGATGTAGTAATTTTTACTTTGTAAACATGGTTGCTTCACTTGCTTTGATGAAATGGACGGCATTAGATGTTAAATTAAGGGAGTCTGGCTAGTGTTGAGATGAAGGAATCTGGAGAAGTTAAATTCATCAATGAATAATTGAAGGCCTCGTCAACAACATAAAAACCCAATGACTTTATGAAGGTTAGGATGGGTGTGCTAGCAGATTTTGGCATGCAGCATTAACCTCAAAAGTTGCTTTAGATAGAAAAGAATCAATATACAGGAATGTCCAGAGCCGTCATTATGAAATGATTGAATGACATGTTATATAGCCTTATGGTTAAGCAGTTTTTTTATCTTTCTGGATCTGGATATCGCACAGCGTTACATTCTTTTTCCTATTTCGGGCGAGGCCATGTCCTTTAATTTACGTTTATTTTTCTAGTATTCCTATGGTTTATACAAGGGGAGGCTTAGCATTTTATGCTGTTTTTTCTAGAGTTAGTTTCTCACAAATTCCTGGTTAGCGTCTAGAAAAATCAAAACAGCTCCTCAATTAATTCAACAGCTACTGCCCTATTTTCTCTCGCTCTCTCCCACTGTGTTAACTTAGTATCAGAGCCGATGAAATGTCTACACTGTTATTATGGCATCTAGCCTGGCAAAGTTTGTAGGATGAGCCAGCCCTGAAGATGCTGGCTAATAAAAGAGGTAAAGTTCTTGGGTTGGACCTAGCGCAAGAGATGGCAAATATGCGAGAATTGATAGAACACTTTGTTCAGGGATTGATGGAGTTCTTATGATCCCTTGAACTTGCAAGGAGATTTTGAAGGTGATGATGCTATTATCTAGATCGGAGCTTACTGCCAATCTATGATTAGTGACCCAATGATGATGTTAACTTAATACTATAATGATTGTCAAGATGCTTGTCAAGGCAACTAGGGAAAGGATGACTATTAAGCTAAGTTAGTTCTTATTTTATAGAATGCAGAAATTTGATCACCTTTGGAGTATTTCATGGCGAGAGAAACAAAAGTTCACATAAAGATTCAAGGTCACTTGAATGCTAGAGCTGATCTATGCGTATTAAGCTTTTTAGACATTAGATATTCCATTGAAAAGTATTTTCTATGTGCATAAAGTGGAGATCAAAAAATAATGAAAAAGGCTATTTGATAATCTGGTTCATCACGGCAAAAGATATTGAACTCAAATATGAGTTTTTCCAATTTGCAGGACAAATAGAACAAGATTCTTCAACTTTTCAAGTTTACTTAATATTTTACTTTCTCCTCTTTGGGTTTTTCTGCTTAGGTTGGTTATCTTGTTTTGTACTTTGAAGCTCCATATGCCTTATGTGATTGATTTTTTTTCTTTGGTAATAAAACTTTTTGCAAAGAATTCAAGTCAGAAAGAATCAAACCCCCCACTTCTACGCTAACTTAACAGCTAATGTCCTTTCTCTCACTTTCCTTGTTTCACGATCTTATGCTGTCATGCCTCTAAAATTTATTCTCTTTTTGTTGTATGATTAACAGGGAGAGTGCAACTGCGGAACAGATCAAGGAAGCACATAGGAGAGTAATGATTGCAAATCATCCCGATGGAGGTGGTAGCCATTACCTTGCTTATAAAATCAACGAAGCTAAAGATGTGATGCTCGGAAAGACAAAAGGCAGCGGATCTGCATTTTCATAACCTTGATTATTGCTTCAATTTAGTGGCATCTGCAGGAAAGCAACACTTATACTTCTCTTCTATTGAAAAATTCAGATAGTCTACAAGCACAAATGAGTTGCAAGATTCAATTGCGGTTATAAAATCCTTCATCTCATCTGTAGTATTGGATTACCTAATACTTTGCTTGTATGAAATATTTTGGTATTGACACAGATTCTCACCAATTAACTGAGAGTTCTATTGTGAAATACAAGAAGTTGGAATTCTTCTCCTTTTCCCTCTGAGTCTTACTCTGTCTGAAACTATTTCTAGTAGGTTTAAAGTTGTTTTGAAATGATAACACACGAGTATCAGACCACATAGAAGAAGGGCATGACTGGATGCAGCTTGAAGTTTCATATTCTGTCTGTATTCATAAGATACGGTTTGCATATTAATGTGAGAAATTAGATGGAAATTTTCTGAAAAGTGGAGAAATTAATTTGATTAAAATTTAAAATTGTGGTTCATTTAAATTCATATAAATTTAATAATATGATTGTTACATGGTAATTAACTATTAAATATATTTATTTAAACATATAAGTTAAACTGAAAACAATTGAAAATTAAATAAAAAAATATTGATAATTAAGCTTCCGTCAAGACAAAACCGGCACTCCCGAGTTTCTCACTATAAATATTTACCAAAACCCTAACCGGGGATCTGTCACGCGAAAGCAACATGGGTAAAGTTTCTTCTTCTTTTTGCCTCTTGATCTCCGCTTCTAATGAATATCTAAAACCGTTTCCTTTCATTTTGGATTTACAGGTAAGGTTCATGGATCTCTGGCTCGTGCTGGTAAGGTGAGAGGCCAAACTCCCAAGGTAGCGAAGCAGGACAAGAAGAAGAAGCCACGTGGCCGCGCCCATAAAAGGATGCAGTACAATCGACGGTTTGTCACCGCAGGTAATCTACTCTCGCATCCTTGGTTTTCGGTATAAGATTGAATGGGAATTCAGGTGTTGATTTTATATTACTGAAATCAAGATTACAGCGTATTAGTGATTTAAGGTTTAATTGATTTGTCGTAGGTCTGTTTACTTGGATATGATGGTTCTAATACATGTTTCCTTGTTGTCCCTGAATTTTTCATGGGGAAATCTCATGCGATTATGTTAGGGTTTGTAGTTTCTGTAAAATGTGTTATCGCGCTTTCTTCCCTGTAATGCATAAGTGACTGCTGCTAGAATGCTTTCGTATGTTTTGTGTAAATATCTAGCTTCCGTGTGTTTCTGTTGTTATTTTGGTTTAGGAGTTATCATCTTGTTTCTTTTTACCCAAGAAATTTTTTGATAATTCCAGTTGGATTTTTTGAGTAACTTCATCTCAGCGTAGACCTTGTTCAGTGGTTTAAGTTTGCTCCTTTACTTGCCATACGCAGACGGATATACATATATCAAGATAGCTTACTTTTTTAGCCTTTCATGTTGTAGGCTTTTAGTTCTGAAGAGCTCCTAGCTTTAAGCTGATAAATAACTTCTTCTGATTTCAGATTCTTAGTAAGTTATAAATGTTTAGTAAAATCAGAGCTTTAATTTGAAATTTTGATAAAGGATCAACTCAGATAATTATTTGTTCTTTTAGTTAATTTTATGTAAATGTACATGATGCTTTCATTAGGAGTGTTTTTAGTGAAAAAACATTGGTATAAACAATTTTAGTATTTGACTTAAAGCTCCAAAAGTAAGTTTAGTTAGCTCTTTTTTGACTCATTGCATTTGGCTTTTAGTCCTAACCAAAAAAATCTTTGACTTCTTGCTAAAATTGAATTTAAGCACCTTTGACCAAGAAAAAGCCAATCTAGAAGCCCTCGTATACCTTTTCAATGCTTCCCCCTGAAATTGATGTTAAGGAAATTATTGCAGGTGTACAGCTGTCTTTATTTTTATGTTTTTCCTTCCTGTGTTTCTGTTATACTATTTTGGTTTTGGGAGTTATCTTGGTCTTGCTATGTCTTTTTTTTTTTTTTATAAATGTTCTGATGATTTCAATTGTATTCTTTGAGTAACATAGTAGCAGCGTAAACTTGTTTTGTTTTTTTACTTTGCTATTTCACCAGCTAATAAAATTATAGAAGTCAAAATACGTTTATGTCTGGCTATGGTTGGATCTGATTGTAACATTTTGTAAGAGAAGCTTGGAAATATACAAATAATTAATCGTTTCTCCAAGAGTGATCTTATCAGTGGATACACTGCAGAGAACATTAATGAAGCGTTTTTGTGTTTGTCTAAACCCAATACTTGGGCAGGCATGCAACTAGAGCTGAAGAAAATGCTCTACCTGTTTGTAGAACTTTTTTCTATTTAGACATATTGGGTCAGATGCCTTATGAATGATCTTCCTTCATGGACAATCATCTTAGCTATCAGAAATCTGGCTGAGGGAAAATAATAAGCTTTGGTCGTGGGCTTCCCTCCCAAACCAAGCACAGGCATTGATTAGCATATAATACTAAATGACTCTCCTCACAAAGGGTTCTTTGAACTTCAAAAAAAGTGAATATATGTCGTATGTAGTTATGTTACTTTGTGCCAGTGGGTTTCGATATTCGAACCTTCCTCTGGGTTTTGTGTTTTCTGTATAGTGCTTGTTGTCTCAATCCTATTATTTTTGTTCTTGCAGTTGTTGGTTTTGGCAAGAAGAGGGGACCCAACTCATCTGAGAAGTAGGGCGTAGCTTGTTGAGAGTTTTGAGGAATTAATTTATCTTTTTCCTCTTTCTTTTTCTTTATTGTACTGCTTTTTAAGACTGGTATTAAGTGCTGAACTGCTTAGTCTACTAAGATAAGATTCAATGTGATTTTATCACCATGGTGAACTGTGCTATATTTTGTCTGCTTTTAGCTTCGATGTTACGATCACACTTGCTACACTGAATTCTGTCATGTTATATGTGTTTTTGACAGTCCTGTAATAAGGATGAATTTGTTAAGGAAACTCACAAAACATAGTAGTGACATAGCCAAAATGGCTATGGTTGATTATCTTGTCTGGATTGTTTGATATTGTCTTTGGTTAATGATATATATGATGGCGAAAATTTGTTTCTTTATACTTGTTACTTTGTATTTCGAAAAAAGATGGAGAAAATTTGTTTAGAGCCGTTTGATTTTTCCAATTTGGATCGGATTAGATCTTTAGTGTTTCAAAATTTTATAATGGTTGTGGATCAGCATAGTTTCAGTAAATGAATTCTGGATTAATGTGAATGGTTGTAAATTTTATGTTTGTATTATTAAAATAAGAAATAAAAATATTTCAAACTGATATAATTGGGTCTCATTTTCGGCCACAAAGATGGACGGACGGATGGATCCCAAAGCCGCAAAGAGTCTTACAAATGTTTCTATTATATGATTATTTCCCTAATATATTCTATTTTGGCCTATAAACATCTTAATAATTTATAAATATCTTTTATTAATAAACTAAAATAAGTTGGAAAAAGTAAAATTCAGTATTTTTTATTTTACTTTTTTCTTTGTTTTGAGTTTAATTATTACTGAGTAATATGATAAAAATAAAGTTTTTTTAAAAATTAATTTTAGATTTCGTTTGAATAAATTTCAATGATGGTTAATTAATGTATAGTAATGGTAGTAATTGAATGTCAACAACTATGAATTGTAATGATAAAATTTTTTTTCGTTTGGAATAGTATATTTGTATTTTTAGTTAAATTATTAATTTATCCTTACATATTATGTATAATAGTAAATGGTATAAAAGAAATATGTAAAGAAAAAAAATTATTTATTAATATAATTATATTTATATTTAAATAAAATTAAAATTATATATTTAATAAAATAAATAATTATTATTTATATTATTATATTAATTTAATAAATGTTTAATTATCAGAACATATATGAAATTAATTAAATTATACGAATATATAATAGAAAACAAAGATAATACCCACCAAATACCGCTATTTTGGTAATTTAAAAATTTACTTAAAAATTTATCAATCAAATATCATTTGTTACTGTTTGAAGTTGAAATAAAAACGATTTTCTCATGTCCGTAAAATACATACATTAAAATTTTATCATTTATCATGATCCAAACAGAAAGTTAATGTTAAAAAATACTTAGTATAAATATATTGGGCATTCCGTGAGCCCATCCTTTCTGTACAAAGGCTCATGGACCAACCACCAGACCCCCCAAATAATAATAATAGGGCTTTTGATAGGAGACGAGACTTTTTGTCTTTTCTTGAGAAAACGTTTCGATACTTTGCTTGTCGCCAAAGAAGTGTTTCTACAAATCTACTGAAACCTCTGCCAGTTGCAGATCTCTCTCTCTCTCTCTCTCTCTCTCTCTCTCTCTCTCTCGCAAACACAAAGGTAAATTCTTTCATTTCTCTCCTAGATTTTGTTTTGGTTTCGATTGGTCATTTTGTTGATTTTCCATGTCGCTTATAGCTGACATATAGGGTTTTGGATCGAAGCGCACAAATACAATGTTTCTCACAAGGTAAAAACAAAATCTACATTCTTAGTTCTCATCTTCGTTCCATTTCTTCTGCTCTCCCTAATTCAATTCGTTATTCGCAACGATTACTCATTACTGAGGTTCTAAACCCTTTTGTTGTACTTTCTGATTGATCCATGTAGAACTGAGTACGACAGAGGTGTCAACACCTTTTCTCCGGAAGGAAGGTTGTTTCAGGTTGAGTATGCTATTGAGGCCATCAAGGTAACCCAGTCGGTTCCCCAGTGAAAATCACGACTTCTTCTAACCGTGCATGACTTGCTTATGAATAAACCTGGGTACTCACTAGTATTTTCTTCTTTTGATTTGAATATCACAGCTGGGTTCGACCGCAATTGGGCTGAAAACAAAAGAAGGAGTTGTTCTTGCCGTTGAGAAGCGTATCACTTCACCATTACTGGTCTGCCCTCTTCCTTGCAAGCTCTCGTTCAGCTTGTTTTTATATTATTGCATCGTTTTCAATTCACACCTTTTCAAATTAGTTACCTTTGGTTTATTGGCTATGCTGGGAACTTATTTGGGCTCAACTTAGGCTGTTTCTACTGCTTACAGTTATAGTGATCAAGAGACGTCTAGTCGGCTCAGTTCGGATACAATCTATGCATTTGTCTTATAAATAATCAGTAATTATTGTATCATAACAAGACAGCTACTCACAGATAATTTACAGCATGTCTGTTCTGTGTAATCATGTGTGATTGTTTTTGGGTGTGATAGCTGAGAGATTGTGTCTGTGATGTTTAGGTTTGAACTCTTGTATTCTAAAATAGGTTGATTATTCCTTACATCCTCCGGTATGTATCTGTTTTTTCTTAATTCTAGCAGGACCTAAGATGAAAATAGTAATTTTTTTTGGGCTCAAGAGTAAATGAAATTCAAATCAACTGATTGAAAGGTAATATCAGACAATCATAGAATGGTAGCTTAATTGGGAGTAAACTTGTTGGGAAATTTGGTAAAGCTGTAGTGTTTGCTCCAGTTCCACCTTTCCTCTGATGATTGAGCTTTTATGGTGTCATATTTTGTTTATGTCTGTATATCTTTCAAGGACCTCGATTGTATTGGACCTGCAATCTCATAGGATTCCCTCTCAAGGAATACTGAAGTTGCCAGACCTAGCTTACTTAAAACCCCATACGTTTCTTGCAGTTATATATGTGACCAACTTCTATGGAAGTGAAAAATTGTAGCGGCCATTAGTACTTTACTGTCACTCTTGAACATAATTTATCCAACTGATAAATGCGTTGATGAAGAATCAGCAATATGCTTGACCAATTTCAATATATATTATTATAGATACTTTCTCATTTTTTTCTATATGTTCACCTAAGTTAGGATCTTGCGACTTCCTAGATATCATTGCTTTTTATTTCCTTTCAGGAGCCCAGCAGTGTTGAGAAAATCATGGAAATTGATGAGCATATAGGATGTGCTATGAGTGGTTTGATTGCTGATGCACGTACACTTGTCGAACATGCACGAGTTGAGACTCAGGTGAATAGTAGATAATATTCTTCCTATTCTTTGATGGAAACTGTTTTGTTGGTGATACTACCTTAAGTTCAATCATGCAGAACCATAGATTCTCATATGGTGAGCCAATGACTGTGGAGTCTACAACTCAAGCACTTTGTGACCTGGCTTTACGATTTGGTGAAGGTGATGAAGAATCCATGGTATAATTGCTTACCTCTAGAACTGCATCTAGAGTTAAGTTTATTTGAAGTATATTTTTTGATAAAGTAGTTGGGTCAAAGAATATTTTTGTCCACCTTGTTTCTTATACTTCTTTTTTGCTTTCCAACAAGTTAGAGACATTATTTAGCATATGACTGAGAACCAGCAACGATATGACTCAAATACAGCTAATCTAGATGACAGGCCACAGTTTTAAAAAATAATCCAATATATCATTGATTAAGATTTTTGTACTTATAAGCTCCCTCACTTTCATATCCCTGCGAGGATGATGTCATTTTTATTTGTATTTTTTAAATAACCAACATTGGATATAATTTCTTCTTTCTTTTTCTCATGTACAGTCTCGACCATTTGGAGTGTCTCTTCTTATTGCCGGTCATGATGAGAATGGCCCAAGCTTGTAAGTGGTGTTCTTTACATATGTCTTCACAGGATTCTTCCCAGCATATGTTAGATATAAATTTGGCTTGAGTTACTCAGTCATGGATTTTGTTCCCGCAGTGGATAAGGTTAAATTGCCAACTTAATGAATAAAAGGAAAATTGAAGATTAAAGATTGTGTTAAAGCAAATGGTAGATTATGTTTCATTTTATAAATAATGTTTCAAAAGGCATATGTTGAATATGAATTTGACTTGAGCTAATCATGGACTCAGTCCTCATTTGTGCATAAGTTTAAATTTGTCAAGTAAAAGAATTAAAAGGAAATGGAAGTTTTGAGCAAATAGTGTATTATGTTTTGTTTCATAAATAATGTTTTGCAGCCTCCATTGGTGTCCTATGTTGTTCTTGGAAAGGCCTACCAGTCTAATCCAGAAATGCACTGCACGTTTAACGTAGTATGTGGTAGAAATTCTTGTGTTGTGTGGTCAACATCCATGACAACTGCACTAACCTGATTTCATATCTTTGTTAACATGTCAGCATTTGGAACTGCATATTGTGTCTTTTAATCGAAAAGAACTTCCCTTTGTGCAGGTACTACACCGATCCATCTGGTACATTTTGGCAATGCAACGCAAAGGCTATTGGTTCAGGTTCAGAAGGTGCTGACAGCTCTCTGCAAGAGCAGTATAACAAGGTATCTCTTCATTAATTGAAATTTGCATTCACACACAATGTTCACTTACACAATTAGATTTGACCGCAAGCCGCTGGTTAATCTTGAATTTATTTCAACCTATAAATTGCCCTATAAGCTTTTTCTCGGGGTCAAAGTTCACCAGGTCCCTTGTTGCAGGACTTAACTCTTCAAGAAGCTGAGACAATTGCATTATCTATTTTGAAGCAAGTTATGGAAGAAAAGGTAAATGCTTTTGATGATTACACCGTAAATGATAGACTCTTCCGATTGTATGTGACTTTTTTCTTATACCGTCATGTTATACTTGTCAATTAGGTGACACCCAATAATGTTGACATCGCCAAGGTGGCTCCTAAATACCATCTCTACAGTCCTTCGGAAGTGGAGGCAGTCATCAGCCGCCTATGAGGAGAAGAAGAAACTGTTGTCGCCATTCTTACTTACCCTGCATTTGTTGGGGGGAAAGGATTAAACTGAAACCTGTTGAAGAAAGGAGTTGTTTGGTTGTCTTTTTAACTCCGTGAATCTTGAGTTGTTTGGGACAAGTAGAACATCATTATGGAGATGGGTATCTTATTGAGAAAATATATGCTTTGGACTTACTGAGACAGGTTTTTTTAATGTTTTATTTTTAGTACAAAGTAGAGATTTTTAAATAAGAAATTAGAAATTTATAAGGTAAATAAAACGAAACGAAAGAATATTACAATACACCAGTAGCTTTATACATGAAGTGAAATTAAATGGAAGAAGGAATATATGCCATGGCCGAACAACCGTGCAAGTGATTGTCTGAAGTTACCTAAATGCCATTCCCTCTTACCGAATATAATAGAACCCTCGCAACCAATATTCACAAATTAGTTTTTTGTGTGTTGAGAGAGAAAATGGCAAATGAAGGCGAAGAAGCGAGGAGTGGATGTGGATACGGAGGGAAAGTGATAATCGCCATGAAAGGACATCCAGGCACTGGCAAATCTACTCTGGCTCGTTCTTTGGCATCTTCATTGAAAATCCCTCTCATCGACAAAGATGACATTCGAGACTGCACTCTCTCCCTCCAGCAATCCCTCTCCCCTTCCATCGCATCTTCCCTCCTCAACGACTTTTCCTACCAGGCCATCTGGCAAATCGCTTCCACTCAGCTCCAACTCGGCCTCAGCATCGTCATAGACTCTCCCCTGTCTCGGCGGAATCACCTGGACCGCTTGCTTCTCCTTGCCTCTTCCGCCGGCGCACGGCTCTTGGTCATCGAGTGCAAGCCATCCGACGAGGTGGAATGGCGAAGGCGGGTCGAAAGCCGCGCCGATTCCGGCGAAGGCAGCTGGCACAAGCCGGGAACGTGGGGAGAAATGGAGAGGTTACTGGAAAGTTACGCAGGAAGTACGGAGTACGAGGTGGGGGACGTGCGGAAGCTGGTTGTGGATACGACTGCTGGCGTTGGAATTCAAGAGGTGGTTTCGGATGTTCTGGATTTCATTGCGTCCGATGGTGCGTCTGTGGGTGTTGGTGATTAGATGGTAGAATTTATTTTGTATTTAATAAATTAATTTTGGTGGTTCTATAAAATGCTTGTCTCTAAAACTGAAAACATTTTATATTCGTTCTTTGGGACGCAAAATTAAATAAATTAAATTAGAACAAAACCAACTTCTTAATGACCAAGTTACATACTAATTTTAAATTGTACGACATTAATTATTAAATTAAAATTACTAACTATTATTTAAAAATTTAATTAACTCCTGTATTTAATTAAAAAATATAATTTATTGTTATATTTAAAAGTGAAAATTGAGATGTCAACACGTGGCATCTTCTGGTTTTACATTTATATTTAATTAAGAAAAAAATATCTGGATTAAAGGTAAAATATTTAAAAAATTTCTATTTATTACACATATTAACTGAGCAAAAGAAGTCAAATCAGATTTAACCATTCATTTATTACCGTCTTCGTCTACATAACTGTTCACACCACCCTCGGGCAATGCCAGTCGCAGATGCTTCGAATTCAGACTCCGTTCTGAATGCCTTCCCCTCTTCGTCTCCTCTATAAATTCCATTTCAGAATAGCTATTCGGGACTTGATTTTCGCCGACGATGCACCTGCTCGTCAAACTTCTCCGATCACCGCTGTGCCGTCGCTAAACGAAGTGAGTTCTCTTTTTTAAAATCGTCGTTTTTAAGATTCCGCCATCTTCTGTCTTCTTCGGTTACATCTATCTATGTACATAAACACACCGACTATATTACTTGACGCGTATCCGTATATATTTACATTTTTTGGTCAGGTACTAACAATTTTCTCTTGTTTTTTTTTTTGGTTTTTTGTTTTTTTTTTTCAAATTAAAATACATTATTCTTATACGATTTGTTGAGATGGAATCGGATTGACGGATGTCATTGAGAGATACGTGTTTAACTGGTGAAATTTGGTGGATATATACATGTATGTTAAATAGACAGTAATATGTCACAATGGTAGATTCAGTGTAGTGTTTTTTCTTCTTTTTGTAAAAGAAGATACGGTAATAGCGTTCTGATATTCTAATTTATTAGTCAATGAATATTCAATTTAAAAAGAGAATTTTTTTGCTAAAATATAATTCTGATAATCTAATAATATATTTCCTCGATTTTGTTTTGCCTCAAATATATATATATATATATATATATATATATATATATATATTATATATTTTCAAAAAATATTCAAAATATTTAAAACATTTAACTCTAATTGTTTTATGCAAAAATTTTTTACGCATAATTTTTTAGTAGATATCATGTATCATCTTATGTAACAGGAAAAAAAATTCACAGGTGGATCTAATTCAAGTGTAGAATACTATGACTACATAAGGAGAGAATCTAATTCATTTAACATTATTCCGCCTGTATTCTGATATGTAATCATTCGAAATCATTCATTGATTCTTATCAGGTCAATTTGACTTCTGAATTCGACCTGAAGAAACAACGTAGTGACGACTGTTGTCCTGAATTTTTATCAGATCAGTAGCGGTCGTGACTCCTCAATCCCTCCGGAAACCAACAAGAACCAAACCATGACGAGAACAACCATCGATTCAGATCACGTCCGCGATTCGCCGGCAGCTCTATCGGAGGTGGTACTACATTCCGCTGCTCCTGACAGAAATCGTCTTCGTGCTGTTCCAGCTCCAGCATTGCAGAACAAGGTGCTTCTTTTTTTTTTTTGTTTCTGAACTACACCAACCTTCCGAATTCTATGCATGAATCATTATGTTTTCTTTAAAAAATATATATATATATCATATAAATATATGAATACAAATATTCACGATGATGCGCACATATTTTCTGCTGTTGCATGTATAATTTTTTTTATATGTATAATTTTTTTGGGTGAGATGTATTTATGCATATAATTGGTACCCACATACATATATATACATATACACATACATCTACAGTGTTCCTTGAGGAAATATACATAATAATATGATGTACATACTAAGTTTATAAATTATTTTTCTCATAGGTCTCACTGATTTTTTTTTTTCTTTTGTTTTCTCGAGTGAGAAGCGTATGTATATAAGTTCCTAGGAAAACTAAGCGTATGTATATAAGTGTATGTATGTATAGAAGCGTATGTATACGCTTATATATATATAAGTGTATGTATATATGATTTTTCGCATATGTATATAAGATTCATAATTTTATCTCTGTCTTCTCTACTTATAATTTAAAAAATAAACTAAACAAAATGGCCCAAATGTCTAGTCGTTTCTTGCGGAGAATTTAAAGTCAGAATCTCTTTTTAGAATTGCTTTATTTAATTGGTTGGCTGGTTAAATACCTTCTTTTTTTTTGGTTTTGGATATTAATGGAATTTTTTGTTTGAACAATGAACAGAAATATATCAAATGGGAAACTATACTTCTTGCGTACAAGACAATAGGAGTAGTGATGGGGTCACTTGTGACATCTCCATTATATGTGTATCCATCAATGCCATTGAGTTCTCCAACAGAAGCAGATTTCTTAGGAACTTACAGCATTATCTTTTGGACTCTCACACTCATTGGTGTTGTCAAATATGTTTCCATTACTCTTAATGCTCACGATCAGGGTGAAGGTAATTTCCATTTGAACTCATAACCATATTTTATATATTATTTTATTTCATGATTCTCTATTGAAATTGCAGGTGGAACGTTTGCCTTGTATTCTTTGCTTTGTAGACATATGGACATTGGAATTCTTTCTCCCAAACGGGGTATTTCAAATAATTCCTCAAGTCCTGACTCACTTTGCACCACTCAGAACAAAAGCAAACTTGTCAAATTTCTGGAAGGGAGCCTTCTTGCCAGACGAGTCTTACTTTTTGCTGCTATATTGGGCATGTGTATGCTAGTTGGTGACAGTATACTCACGCCTGCAATGTCAGGTTTTATCAGTTCTCCCTCTTTTCTCTTCTATATCTTTGGACCCCATGCATATCAAGCCATAAATAACACAGCAGATCATCTCGTACAGCTTAGGTTTTTTGGATAAGTTAGTTCAATGTTCTTACAGCTTAGGTTTTTTGGATAAGTTAGTTCAATGTTCTTATATTTTCTAATTTTTTACAGTTTTGTCCGCAATTGAGGGATTGAGAGCACCTTTCCCCCAAGTTACTGGTGGTAAGTATGAGGTTAGATTATTCTAACTTTAATACAAGCTTGAGAGACATAATTGTTGCTTCTTGACTTTTGAATTTTTGTTGGCGTAACTTTTTAGATGCTGTGAAAGGTATTTCTGCAGCAGTTCTAGCTGCTTTGTTCTTGTTGCAAAGATTTGGAACCTCTCGAGTGAGCTTCTTGTTTTCTCCTATAATGGTTCTATGGACTTTGTGTATCCCGCTTATTGGAATATACAGAATTATACATCACTACCCATCTATCTTCAAAGCTATGTCACCACACTATGCCTTCCTTTTATTTGCAAGAAGAAAAAAGCAAGGCTGGTTGTTGCTTGGCGGCACAATCCTCTGCATAACTGGTATATATGAGTGATAAAAGTCTATTTCTTTATTCATAATTTTCTTTTTAGCTTCTTCAGTCTTTTGTTATATTCTCTTTCAGGCTCAGAAGCAATGTTTGCGGATCTTGGCCATTTCGATAAAGCTTCTATTCAAGTAACTTTTAATATTTTCGCATATTTAGTTTATAAATATATAAAATTGATTAATTAATTAAGAATTAATCTTTTTTTCTTTTTTTTTTTCTGAACAGCTAGCTTTTTTGTGTACCCAGTATCCATCACTTATTCTAACATATGCCGGACAAACGGCTTATTTGATCAAGAATCCAAATGATCTTGGTGATGCTTTCTACAAGTTTGTACCAAAACCAGTTTACTGGCCAATGTTTGCTGTAGCCACATTAGCTGCCATTGTTGCTAGTCAGTCACTGATATCAGCCACATTTTCTGTGATTAAGCAATCAGTTGTGCTTGACTATTTCCCTCGTGTCAAGGTGGTGCACACCTCTGATAGGAAGGAGGGCGAAGTTTACTCGCCAGAAGTCAATTACATTCTCATGATTCTCTGTGTATTTGTCGTGGTTGCTTTTGGAGATGGCAAAGCTATTGGAAATGCTTATGGTAAAGTAACTACAACTATTTCTTTCTTATTTTATTCTTTTAAATTCAAAATTGAAAGGTTAAAACAACCATAGAATATTCATTTTAGTCATAGCTAAAATTATGGATGCCTAGTTGGTAGAACAATCTGAGTTTGAGATAAATTTGGGACTAGTTTTGGATATTTGCTAACTACTAATGAATTTAACATTTTTCTTGTAGGTGTTGTTGTCTCTATGGTTATGCTCATAACCACTGTATTGTTGACTCTAGTCATGATCACAGTATGGAAAACTCACCATGTGCTGATCGTGCTATACTTCTGTGTGTTTTTTACCTTGGAAAGTTGTTACGTGAGTGCAATTCTCTCTAAACTCTTAAAAGGAGGATGGATACCTTTTGTGGTATCTTTAGTTCTTGCGTTCATCATGTTTGGTTGGTTTTATGGAAGGCAAAGAAAAATGGACTATGAGTTAACTCACAACATAGATTTGGGAAGACTAGAAATGTTCTTGTCGGATCCAAGCGTCCATAGAGTTCCTGGAGTGTGCTTCTTTTACACAAGCATTCAAGACGGGTTCACGCCTGTACTCGCACATTATGTCAGAAACATGAAGTCTTTACACAAAATCACGATTTTTACTACATTTAGATACTTGCTAGTCCCGAAGGTTCCAAGGCATGAGAGGATTATTGTCAAGAAGCTGGCACTCAAAGGACTCTACAGGTGTATAATTCAGTATGGATACGCAGACTCATTAAATCTCGAAGAATATGATTTAGTGAGTCAAGTGATTGATAGTATGAAACTACACCTAGAGAGTTTGTTCTCCAATTATCCATTAGAGATTCAAGAGGATTTTTCGGATTTGGAAGAATCAAAACTTTCCGATATAGTGCACGTTCGGGGGAAGACAAGGTTCTATGTGGGAAAGAAAGGTAGCTGGTTTGATAGAATCGTTCTAGCTTTCTATGAAGCCTTGCACAACAACTGTAGATCAGCATTGCCTGCGTTGAATACACCGCAGCAAATTGAGATCGGCATGGTTTATGAGGTCTGAATATGACGGAAATAAGATTTTGTCAGTTGAATTGAAGTCTTGGATGAATTTCTTTTTAGCTTGTTGTATCTTCTTGTTCAAGAAGTATGTTACTTCTGAATGTTATGGTTTGAATACTTTCAGTTGAATATGGAGGAAATATAGTTTGCTTTGAATTATTTTTTAGCTGGGATATAATTTTTGCATCCAATTATTCTTTTATAGACAATGTTGCCTTTGTTATATAAATTGACTATTGAAGGTCAAATTTTCTTCTTATTTTATTTTTAAAAAAGACATAATAAGAAAATTTTACCAAAAAGAATTAATTTATTTTTATTTGTTGTATCAGAGAGAAGCATTTGTTTCTGACCCAAAAAAAAAAAAAAAAGAAGAAGCCATTGATAAAAGAATTATTTTAAAGATAATATAAATGATATTTTTAGTCTTTGACTGCTGTGTGTGTTGGTTCATATATTATAAATTCAAATCAAATAGTAGAAAATGTAACTATTAAAACAAATAAAATCAGGTCAAAACTTTGACTTATTAGTTGAACCAACAATATGAATTGTATTCAACATTTTACATATGTATATATGTATATATATGTATATATATTTCACTTAAAAAGGCGAATTTATTGGAGATAATTTATTAGAATACATTTGCATTTGCTTTCTTTTGTACGACATTTATTAGTTAAAATTTAGACCATTTATTTTATTTGGCAGATTTTAAGATTGCTTAAATTTTAAAATATGCTAATAATTTATTATATTTTTTAAAATTAATATTTGTTAGATTATAAATTATATAATATTTCAAAACATTTTTAAATCATTCAACCATTGAATCGTCTTTCCCCATCTGTGCACCCAAATAATTCTGGGGTGACATTAGTCACATAGCTTGCCATTCTAAGCACACATAATCAAATCAATTAACAAAAGAAGAGTAGAAGGAAACAGAATGAGAAAACCGAAGCTCCGACTCAAGGTCAGCTTTGTATTCAGCCATGATAAATCTCAAAAGTTATAGGCCGAATGATTCAGATTTCCCCACTGAGAACAGGTGTTATATTTTGCAATTCATATTTCCATAATGAACAAACTATATACCGTTCATAGAACCTGGTGTTTTCCTAACTTCCCTTTAACTAAGAAAATTTTGCAACTCTGAGTTAGCAGCCTGAAAGGGTAGCTAGCTCGGACACTACCCAAAGAGCATGAGGGCCACAGCAAAAGGCGGGGGCAGACAAGGTTCAAGGTGCTGACCGTTGAAGAAGTCTATATGCAGATTACATGCTAGTGAACCCTGCATATTTTATGGTAGTGATAACATCCCATGACATGCAGATGATCATATGCTTCCGGAATAGGATCTCGGTGTCCTTTAGGATACCAATAGCAAAAAAGGTCAGCTAAACAGCCAAACCACTATAAATTACACCAGCAAAACCATTAACAATATCATGCATCTTATCCCCATAACAAAGCAAGTAACCCCGTATAAAAGATTTACTAACAGAACCAGACCAATTAGCGCGCTCTCTTGCAACTACTAGTGGCACTCAATGATCATCTTGCTGCCATCAGACTTTGGTGTGCCTTGATTCTTCAGAGCTCTCTTTTCTAGAATATATACACAGATTGAAGGAAGATTTAGAAAACAAACATTTTAACTGAAAAGAAAAAGGTTACAACTAACTAACAGAAGAAAACCATAAGTGAAGCAAAGATTTGAAAGTAGAAAAATAAAAAGGTTCCATCAAGGAGCAGCAAAGCAGAGGGCAGAATTGACACCCGCATACATAGCACATCCCGGGTACAATCCCCTTCAATTACGATATGGACCATAGTCCTTTAACGCAAGAGATATGTCTAGGCTCTTAAATTGGTAGATCAACTGAATTTGAGAACACGTGACACAATAAAGCAAGTGTAACATGCCTATAGTCCTCAGAATGGATACAGAGTCCACACACATAATCATTAACCTCAAAGATATTTTTCTCAGGCCTCACTTGGTCCACATACCTTTCTTTCCGAGTTCCCTTGTATAAATACTAATATCTGCGCCCATCACATAACCCTTATTACTGAACTTCAGATGAATCAGAGCTATGAGACTTTTAAACCTCTCCTCCCTCTTCAATATTCCAATTAACATAATATTATTTCTTATATAGGTCGAAAATGTGGCTAAAGAGTTGTCTCCTCATGAGATTGTCTACTTGGAAAGATTCACAGCTGATTTTAATAAAGGAAGAGATCCTAGAATTCTATATCAAGAAAAATCAATAGCGAGACAAGAGAAAAAAATATACTCTAAAATCTGGATAGATGCACAAAATTTACCTGAAACTTTAGAGAAAAATTAAACTTCACAAAATAGATTCAGGTGGTATCTTCCTCGCCTAGTGACATGAGAACCGGTGAAATTTTAAATGGTTCAGATATTGAATAGCTGAGCTGGTAATTGACAAGCATTGGCCCAAAAATATTGAACTTTCCAGCACTGTTATAAGCAACTTCGGCATCGGAACATTTCTTAAAGACCACTCTGGCTCGACTGGTCTCCCTATCAACTTCTGTGTCAGATTCCCTTATTGGTCCAAAGTGCCTAAACATTTTGTTTACGTTTGTCTCTGAAGGAAGAGCATCCATCTCAGAAAAGTTCATCACTAGTTCAGCTGGTGCATTCTCATCTATATACCCAGGTGGTTTCTCTGGTGCTGGCTCAATGTTGCTATCAGAATATCGCTTTCTTGTATATGGCCTACGACTTTTTTGGTTTTGATTTTGATTTTGAATGGGTTTTCCCAGTTCAACAGGCACAATTTGATATCCTCCTTTTTCACTTGGTTGTTGCTCTTCAGTACCATTCTGTATTACTCTGTCTGTCCAATAAGTATCATTCATGTCCTCAAATTCGAACGCTTCAGAAGACCCAATATTAGTACTGGATGTCCTTTTTCTTTTACCAGATGTTTTGTCTGCAGAAGGCTGATCCACGACTACTGAGTTCCTAAAATCTGAGAAGAAACTAACAATAATGTTCAAAAAATTATATCCTCTGAAAGGGTCTAGTGCTGCTAAGTGAAGCTGCGAAAGCAACTCATCTAGTGACGAATAATCTGTTGACATAATTGTCCCTTTCCTCAGGGCATCACCAGAAGCCTCCATGGAAACATCATATCCATCCACAACAAGACCATCACTGCTTCCTTCCGCCTTTAAAAACTTGTCACTACTAGACTTCAAAATAGCCGAAGGAGACCCAGTGATTTGGCTTGCAGCTCGACGGATGCATTCGCCAATCTTGAAGGATGGCTTAGGAAAATTCGGGGCTATCAAAGAAACCTTTGCAAGGGAAATGGTTTTCCTCCCTTCATGCTGGGATTCATCATCAACTGAATCAATGGCCTTCCGTTTCTTGCCAGAAATTGCTGAAATGGATTTATTGCTTACTTTCTCATCAGGTCCGATTTCAACATCTGGAGAATCCAATGCGTCACCCATCAGTTCAGACAAACTTCTTTCTTTTTTACTATGATAATCCTTCAAATTGTGTTTACGTCTGTGGTATGAGCTCCCAAATATTAAAGTATCCTGGCCCGAAAAATTCTGCTCATGATCTTTATAAGCTCCAGTTCCATGCTCAGTTATATTGTCCAAATCCATTTTGTCCTCAA